TCGAGTGGTGCCACTTGACTGGGAGGTGGTGGCGGGTCGCGAAGAGGACGGGGCATCGAAGAAGCGACTCTGCATCCTCTGGTACTGTCGAGCAGACTCGAAGGCTTGCTATGTGGACGCGAAGGTCTGTCTCCAAAGCTCTATGCGGTAATTAGGTAGGAGACTGGCGAGAAACCTGTTGGTCAGAAGCCTCTTTGATAGGAGTGTCTCATCGCAAATGAGGCGGATGTCCTAAAACACCCGGATGTGACACTCCAGGACTGCCGGTGCGGAGGACCCGGGCCATCGCGTTTGGGTGACCCTATCTAAGGCGTCGGTCGCATCGTGCCGAGCGCTATAGCGGTCCTCAAGAAAGGCAGTGAAGTCCGGAAAAGTGGGAGCCTCGCCTGTGCGAGTACGATGAGCTTTCCCATGTGGTGAAAGCACCACCTCGCAATTCAGTTGCGAGCAGAGCACCACAACCCCTGACTAGTGTTCGTGAGTGTCAATGAGCGCGAAGAGTGCCAATGCGACACATGAAGTGTGCCAATGCGACACGCGAAGTGTGCCATCGTAGTCTGGCATATTGGACAGGTGCACAAGGGGGGGACCGTTGTGCTGACGCCGAGAGGAGGGAGGCTGAAGGGCATGCACTGCAACGGCAAAAGTCGGGGCCGGTGCAGGGGAGGAAGTGAGAGCAGGTTGTGGGCCGTAGCCGCTGGTAAAAGGTCCATCAGAGGTGGAGGCAACGGCTCCAGGCACCTGTGACAGAGTGGCGAGGTAGGAGGGTAGAGGAGGAGGAGCAGGTCGAGGGAAACCAGCCTGCAAGACCGAAGTAGGAGTAGTGAGGGAAGATAAAGGGTGAGCAGCCTGTGAAGGGTGAGGTTGTCCCAAGGTGAGTATCTCTGCCTGTATCTGCGCCATGGTTGGCCTGCAAGGTAGCCACTCACTGGGTGCGCGGGCTGTCTCAAGGTGAGTATCTCCACCTGTATCTGCGCCATGGTGGCGTGCAAGGTAGTCGCTTGTTGGGTGCGCGGGGTCAGAGGTGGAAGAGTTGGAGAGGGTACCCAAACAGGGGGAGGAGTAGTGAACTGTAGGGAGCCTTGAGGTGGGAGTGAGGGGATAAGAGGAGGAGGGAGGGCTCCGGGCCGTAGTGCCATGACCTGTGCGGAGAGTTGGGAAGCAACACCAGAATGGGTAAATGAAACTGCCTGGCCATATACCAGTATCTAGGCAGCACCACCTACGACAGTCGCCGCAGCAGGGGCACCAGGGGCCGATGGATGTGCAGCAATAGGTAGTACGGTTTGAGCGACAGCGGCACTCACCACTGCAGAGGGGGAGTGTTGGGCCTGTCCCACGGGGGAGGAGGAACCACCACGTGTCCATGTTTGGAGTCGTGGGGAACCAGACTGGGAACCGGTAGGGGATGGGATGTCGGAGTGGTTGGGAGAGCGATGAGGAGAACCCTTGGTGCGGTGGAGCGCAACTCAATGCGCATGGGTGGGTACAAGCGCGTCAAGTCGTGCTTGCATGGGTGTAGGCGCGTCAAGTCGCACTTGCATGGATGCGAGGAGGGCCGCGAGGACGGTCTCAAGGTTCCCAGGGGCCGAACCTTGTGCCCCCAACGGAGTGGGCGCCTGAGAAGTGATATCCTCGGGTATGCTCCCATCCATGTACGGTGGCGGAAGGGGGGTAGACATGGCGGGAGGTGGAGAGAGATATGGGGAAGGAGGTGTTGCTGTGTGGAGAAAGAGGCCCACCTGTGAGTGGGTAGTCGTAAGTCGGCTCGAGCCGGAGTCGGCGGGCCGCACGTGAGATGGTAATATGGACCTGGTCGAGGGGGGAGGAGTTGTTCAGGTCCATGGTACCTGACAGGAGGGACCGAAAAAGGAGGAGGTTAGAAGAACCCTAAACCTTAAGAAAACCCTAACCGAAGTTTGAAGGGTTGGGGTAGAGTAGCGGCGACTTAATGAAGAAAATAAAATAACAAACATGGAGGGGAGGGGGAAAGAAAAATAAATAAATAGTGAAAATTTCTAGGCTACCAGAGTGGTTCGGGTCCTCTTGCCCGGCCGGGCCAAAAAGAAATAAAGAAATAAAAAATAAAAAATATTTTTTTATTTAAAATTTTATTTTAAATTTGGTAAAGAATTTCGATGTGACCCTGAGGCAAAAGTTGTTCAATTTATTTTTCTGCATAGCATAGTTTTTTTTCAGATTTTCTGGAGTTTTTGTTTTTGTTTTTTTCTTTGGCTGGGACCTTCTCTGGTCATTGCACCGCCGGGCCGCCCAGGAAAGTAAATAAAGAAGCAATAAGCAAAAGTTGAGGAGAAAAAGAATATTTATTTTTGTGGAATTTTCGGCAACATTTCCCTATCCCCCATGCGGTCAAAAAATGTGCCAAGAGGAAGGAGAGACCAAGAGAAGCATGCTGAATTTCAAACTGCCGCAGATTAAAATGTTCATAAAAATAAATAAAGAAATGAAGAAACAAAGAAATGGGGAGGTGGAGGAGAGTGAAGAGAAAGCCAAGTTTAGGATTTTTCAAAAATTTCGGTAGCATTTCGTTACCCGCATGGGGTCGAAGTGTGCCATCATGAAGAATGACTAAGTAAAAAATGGAAAATTTTGCCAACACTTCACCACAAGGGGTCACAATGTCTTGGGAAGAGAGTAGGGGGAAAAGAGAAACTTTGGCAACACTTAGTTACCCCCAAGGGGTCAAAATGTGAGCCGAGAGCAGAAATAACTGAGTCCTAACAAGATATTGCAAGGAAAATGAGCGATAGCGAACTTCGGAAACCAAGCAACATCATACACATGAGACCAGATAGTCGTGACCTCAAACCAAAAGCAGAATTGCATCACGAGTCCCACCAAATAAGAGCACAACAAAAGCTCACAAGTGACAGTTTTCGAATAGTCTTATCATCATTAACAAAGAACCAATGTCGACATCCTATTTGTCGCTCTGTGCCCGGACTACAAATGGCAGATCCTATCTAGCCTATCTACAATGCTGCTGGTGATGTCAACAACTTCCCGAAGTACGAGCAGATCTCGGCCAATGCCGTTCGCCTCAAGCACAAGTATGTCTCTCGTATCACTCACAACCTCGATCCCCCACTCACAGATGCCACATGCACCCAAGGACCACCATGTGCCTCATCCAGCATACAACAGCGCAACTCGACTATGGCTGCCTGGTCCTTCCAACTCGGTCGTGAGCGTGTGAGCACTGGCCAGCGTTAGCGCAGCAGTGCTTGCGCAGCATGCAGCCAGTGCCCGAATGCCGAATGCGTGGGCAGGCACTTTCCTAAATGGAAGTGGCCTGTCTGCTTGCGTCAGCCTGCCTGCGTTGGGCCCCTGCCCAGAAGCTTCCGATAGGCCCAGAGAGGCTGAGCCCCAGTCCAAAAGAAACAAGCCCTGGGCCTGTGGTGGTTGCCCATGTCCAACTGCCCGCAGCTTGTGTTCGGTCCATGTTGCGAATCTGGCCCAGGGCCTGCCTCAGTTACATTCGAAAGAGGCAGCTTGGGCCTGGGCGCTCTCAACCAACTGGCGCTGCGCAACTGCCTGCATTTACCCAGTTGTGTGATGGCCCCAAAATAGGCATGTAGGCCCTGGGTCGAGCCCGTCTTCACTTAGGGCGGCCGACTGTACAGAAAATAGGGCCCAATAGGGCATATTGAGGCCTTGAGCCTCGCATTCCCTCCCCCATACTTCGCTAGTCCTTTGAGAAGTTTATTCAATCTGGCGCTTTCCTTTCTGCAGCAACTTCTCATAGTGGGTGCCAGCCTGCTGTGCGGTCTGTATCAGTTCCTCCCGTGTGAACCATCTATCCTCCTTTGGATCAGTGTGATGTCTGAACGGAACTCGGTACTGCAGCGTCTGAACCAAACTCGGTACTGCAGCTTCGGCTTAGGAGGACGTCCCTTGCCTGCCGGTCTTGGTACCGACATTATGGTCCACGATGTCCTTGATATCGACCTCTCCGTCCATGGTTGGGGGCAGCATTGAGCGACGAGTGGGAAACTGATCAGTTTCTTCGAACGGTGCAAGCTTAGAAGCGTGAAAAACAGGGTAGGTACGAAGGTGTCCAGGGAGCCGAATGACATATGAGGGTCCGTCTGGTTCATTCCCAACTACATCCAGAACCTCCCGTGGCCCAAAGTATTGTGGCATGAGCTTACGGGAGATCCAATGCGCCTGTCCCATTTCAGAAGCCTTGACCCAGACTCTGTCTCCTACCTGGAACATAGATGAGCGGCGGTGCTTGTTCTTAGATTCAATCATTGCCGCCTGTGCTTTGTGCATGTGTTCTACCGCCTGCTGCATATGATTCTCATATCTATAGGCAAATTCCAAAGTGTTTGGAGCAGCAGTGGGTTGGTTCTAAGGTAGCAGAAAGTCAAGAGGGAGTCTAGGTTTGAACGTTCGTATTAGGCTGTTAGGACTTACTCCCGTAGCAATATTAACTACGTTGTTGTACAGGTTGGGGATGAGAGCGAGCTTCTCATCCCAATCCACTTGATTGGGCTTAATGTAATGCCTCAACAAGTGTTGAACGTCGTGGTTCGTCTGTTCTACCTGTTCATTTGCCTCCGGATGGTTTCCAAATGTCATATGGAGCTGTGTTCCTTGTTCAGCAGCTGCGGCCTTCCATAGATCACTGGTGAATCGGACATCCCTATCGCTGATTATGGACTTCGGGAGGCCAAAGTCTCTAACCCAGTTTTCCTTAAATAGCCTGATAACGTACTCGGTCCTTGCTGTTTCTGACATAGCTACTAATCTAGCATACTTACTAAATCTATCCACGATGACGTAGATGTACCCAATGCCACTCTTGCTGGTGACTAGCGTATCCATGAAGTCCATGAATAGGCTTTCACCGTGCCTTTTCGGAATGGGAAGGGGTTTGAGAAACCCAAGAGGAGCCTGTGTCCGGGGCTTGTCTCGACATACAGATTGGCATCTTTCATCATTGTGGGCCACCAGAATCGCTGCAACATGTTGGCTGCAGTCTTCTTGAAGCCAAAATGTCCAGTGGCATCATGGCATTCGCCTAAAAATAAACTACGCAAAGACTCTCTATTAGGAATACACAAACGCTTATTCCCGGCCTTCTCAAGGAACAACAGGCCATTGATCAAGCGCACCGATAAACTGCACTCTTCAGACGTAGCTTTATCCTTCACCTCGAGTTTGCGTATGATCTCTAACATGAATGGGTCCTCGCGATAGGCTTCCACCAAAGACTGAGTAACATCGCTCGCAAGCCCAAATTCAGTGACCAGCGCACCGAGAAAATCTGGCCTATGCAACAGCGCATCAACAACCTTGTACTCCCCCTTGATGTACTGGGGTTCGAAGTCATACTGCCCAATGACTTCGATCCAACGCTTCAGAGCGCCGGAGAGTACTGGTTCAGTCTTCATCCATCTCAGGGTCTGACGATCAGTCCTGACATAGAAGAAGCGACCTAGGAGGTAGTGCCTCCAATAGGTTAGCGCTTTGTAGATTGCATAGAGCTCTTCTCATAGGTGGACTTGGCCAACTTTTGAGAGGACATCATGGACATGTAGTCACAACGAAAGGTTTATCAGGATCAGGAAGTTTCAAGACCTCATGGTGTGTCAATGCATCCTTCAGATGTCTGAAAGCAGCCTCACACCTATTTGTCCACTCCCATGGGGTGTCGAGGCGTGTCAGGTCCCTCAAAGGGGCGGCCACTATACTATAATTCTGAACAAAGTTGCGGTAGTAGACTGTCATCCCTAAGAAGGACCTCATCTCAGTCACAGACTGAGGACGCGGCTAGTCACGAATGCTGGCCACCTTCGCGTCATCGGGCTTCAAACCCTCCGAGGAAATCTCATGATCCAGATACAAGATCCGGGTGTGGCCAAACTCACAATTGTCTCGGTTGATCTTGAACTGCTGCTGTCTGAGGAGGCTAAGGACCTTATCTAAGTGCGCAACATGCTCCTCGACAGTCCTACTATGTCATCGAGGTACACGATGACAAACTTGTCCAAGCAGTCATGAAATATCTGGTTCATCGCGTGCTGAAAGGTGCCAGGAGCATTGCAGAGGCGGAAAGGCATCACCACAAACTCGTACAGACCGTACCTGGTCTGAAATACGGTTTTGTGTTGATCCTCGGGCCGGATTGCAATATGATGGTATTCAGACTTCAGATCTATCTTACTGAAGTATCGGCACCCTTGCAGTCGATCCAACAAGTCGTCGATGTGCGGTAGGGGCTCGACGTTCTTCACTGTCATGGCATTGAGGCTCTTATAGTCAATGCACATCCTCAAGGTCCCCCCCTTCTTCGGTACAGATAAGACTGGTGATTCGTAAGGGGAGACACTAGGCCGGATCCAACCCTTCTCTATGAGATCCTTGAGTTATCGGTGAAGCTCATCGTGCTCACGTGGAGACATCCGATAGATTCTACCCTTCAGAATGCTAGACCCTGGGATAATCTCTATCGCATGGACGACCTCTCTCTCAACAACCCCTTTCGGCTCTTCGAATAGATCAGGGTACCTAGCGACCACTCCCTTCACCGGCTCTGCAGAGACGTAGACAAGATATGTACCCTCCTTCGGATTTTTGCTTATGATAGTTGTAGAACGTGGCCGCACACATGCATCTGTAGGACTCGATCAGACTACTAGCTTTCAACTTACGTAATCTGGCGGTCCCCCCTCGGGGCAAAGTGTGTTTGACCACTTTTCGGTCCCAGTCAAATTAGGGTTGTGCAACCGAGAGGTAGTACATACCTAACAAGATATCCATACGGAGATCATCGCTGACTAGGAATGAGACTCGATGTTTCAGTTCCCCTCCCACATACGGGAAAAGACACTCAATGTCTTTGAGGTAGTCGTTGACTATGATGCGTTGCTTGTTGGCACAGGTCGATTCCACAAGTCGACTCAGGCGCTGCACTTGCCCCTCTAAGCGCAGCCTCTCAACGCATGCGCGACTAGTGAAGTTCCGCGTTGAGCAAGTGTCATAATAGGCCTCGCCCTTACGGCCGCCGATGACTACCTCGTCGACGAACAACTCACCCTTAGGGGCTTTGGCCATGGCCGTCCAAGAAGCTAGCAGGTCCGATCTAGACCGCTCCTCCTCTAGCTCCTCTAACACATTCAACGAACAGAGGATCGCTGGGTCCGAATGTGTTTGCGGGACGACGGTGGAGTCAGTAGCTTGGGCCATTTCTTGAGATGGTGAGGGTGTGTCCACCACCTCGACCCTAGCAGGAACAACAACTTTTCCTACTGGCCCGACGTGTTTCCCGGAGCAGCGCCAAAACTGCTGGGCACATTGCTACCTACGGGAGCGGAGGATCCCAACGCCTGCCCCATTGTAGAGGGGATCTTCTCGGTCACCTTCTTATTGCGGCACTTGAATCGGTTGTGGCCATATTGACCACAACGAATACAGGCCTGCCTGGTATACCGATCTCTCCACACGTCCTATGTGAGACCCGCTTTCTCCATGGGGGAGCGTTAGGGTCGACTTGACTCCTAGACCGGGAACCTCCACGATGTCTACCAGTCGCCTTACCTTTTTGGACAGAGGCAGCGATTGTTCCACCCCTTGAAACTTCTACGCTGCCTGCCTATGAACCCGCTCCCGCCTGGAAGTCGTCTTCTAACTCGATGGTTTGTTCCTATCGTCCGTTGTGGGTGTTTGTCCATGCCCTATCTTTGCCTTTAGGTCTAGGGCCTTCGTGCTGAACGAGGGAAGGTCGTGCATATTGATGTTGGCCTCACCTGCCAACTGATTCCTGAGAGGCAAAGGAAAGCATCTCAGGTATGCAGTGAGTAAGAGGGGTCATAGCGTACTCCAGGAGCACAGATCAAACGCTCTACTGCATCCGTGGTTTCCCTTACTGACTTGAACTACATGTTGTTCAATGTCAGGATCGCGTCAGTGGGCTTTTGAGCCTCCTGAGGATTATGCCACCTACCTTCCATCAGCTTAAGGAAGTCTTCCAGTTTCTGGTCAACTGCCGAAGCGAGGAAGTCATGACCGTATCCCTGTAGTTGCACTAAACCACTCAACCATCTTGCTGCACTCCCCTCTAAATAGGAGGCAGGCACGTGCATTTCCTCGTGCGGCAAGGTCAACTTACATTTGGCGTAGACTGGCACTGACCTCAACCATGTGTCGAGGTCTTCGCCCCTCTTGTTCCCTGTAAAGGGTTTGGGGGAGGCGATGGCCGTCTTCGGAACCCACTGACTTTGTCCCGGTACCTGTCCCACTCCAAGCTGTGGACCTTGGGGAACAGGCCGTTGCACTAGCTGCTGCTGGGGCTGTATACCCTGCGGTTGTGCAGGCTGCGAGACAGCAGGCTGCCCGGTTACGGCAACCTGCAACGGAGGTAAGGAATACACTGACTATACAGGAATCTGTACACTAGGACCTGCCGAGAACCCGCGTGTTTGCGGCATACCTAGGGAAGCGGCTTGAACCGATGTTGGAGAAACATATGGGGATACTCTAGTCACCGGTGGGACAAAAGGAGGAGGATGTACAACGGGCCAGACACCGGGCCTGAACGACGATGGAGCTGCCCGCGCTCGCCCGAACAATACGGCCGCACTCTGTTGGATGTCCTGTAAGAGACTCATCTGGTGGTCCTGCATTTCTACTACATCTAGCAGGACTGCACGCAGGGTCCTCACATCATCATCCATGCGTGTCAGATCCATCCCTTTTAACTCACCAACGTCCGCTTGTCTCCGCCGTAACCCAACTCTTCTTATGATCATTCTTTCCTTTTCTGCCTTGATCTCTCCTAACGCCTTCTGTAGTTGTGCCTCCTGCAGTGCTGCTTGCTGTATGGCGACCTCCTCGGGGGTCAACACTATTGGCTGGCTTGCCATGATGACAGCGGACCGACTAAGGGTTTGTGCGACCGTTGACCCTATAGTCCCTGAACTATTAGCCTAAGAGCTCTGTTGCGCAACAGTTGCCATGGCTGCTGAAGTAACGACCTTGCTCATGAATGCCCTGCTTGCCTCTACGGCCCTAGCCCTTCGCTGCTGCTGTTGTCTCTCTCTCTCTGCTGGCGGAACAGGTATCTGTCGCCCTCTGGTTCGAATGCCAAGTGGGCTATCGGGCGTCTTGCCGATCGCAAGATCCTATCGTCCGGTTGTGGGACCTCGTTGTCGCTCATAAGCTACAAAACTATACACAGTTTGCACTAGTCACTCGCAATGCCTACCGCAGCGTAATGCACAAACCGGTTTAAAATAATTAAAATAAATAATCGGTGGCTATGTCAGAGACTACTCATTGGGTTCAACAGGTAAGTTCAGATTCCTACAAACGAAATATTTTGACTTTGACTAGTTCGCAAACAGAAAGCACAATGAACAGAAAACAGTTCTTATATGTTGTCTGTCAGATGTTAATGATTGTACATCTAACTAATCAAAATAAAAACAAAATCATTTGATTGGCTGTTTGCAGAGTGGAATCTTTCCCAAACTTATCACCTGGAATCTACCCCTCCCTCAGTTATTCCTGAATGTCTCTTATCGGCAGCGTCCATGAGCAATCCGGAACAGCGTGCGTGTCTAAAGGTGTGCACACGGCCCACCCCTGTGCCCCGAGTCTTGCTGAGCTGGCCAGCCCTCACAATATTTATCCTCGCGTGCAGCAAGCCTTACACCGACCGATTGGCTGATCAGGAGGCGTTTTCATGGACGTCCTCATGAATTATTTAACGTCGCAGACAAGACGACGATCACAGCCAATGGAAGGTCCCCGCCGATACTTATTTATACGTCCGATACTCGTCTTTCCCGTAGGGCTGGCCTGCCCCTCAGAACCCATCTATAGCGCAGCAGGCAAACAAAGGACAAAACAACAAAGCATGCGTGCTCTACTCCCTGTGGGTTGGCATGGTGACCGTGACCCAGTGCTTTGTCCAGGGCCCTTCAGATAGCACCGCCCTCTCCTTCCAAATGCTCCACGTGAACACTGACGACTCTCAAGGTTGAGCGCACTCGACTCCTCACATGAGAGGATTCTCAAGGCAGAACACATTCTCACGATAAGAAGTGTCGAAGAGGGTAGAGAAGGTTAGGTGCAACGTACCTCAAAATAGATGCCCCCAACCACAGATATTCTCACCTTATGACCCGATGCTGATTGTGATGACCAATCCTGCTTCGTCACAACCAGCATTACGCCGTCATTCCACCTCAGCATCAATCGCACCTCAGATAGTTCTCATCACACTGCGAACACCCAATATTCACCACGTAGTCTTCCTGGCGATTCCCTCTCCTCCTGGGTTGCCTGCTTGCCTTCGCCCTCCTCACTACACACTCCCTACGACCGCTCACCCAACAGACCGCATAGATGTACCGCATAGGCAGAAGACAAGCGCCAGATGAGCGCAACATGCCACAACTCTGATACCAAATTGCAAGGAAAATGAGCGATAGCGAACTTCAGAAACCAAGCAACATCGTACACATGAGACCAGATAGTCGTGACCAAAAGCAGAATTGCATCACGAGTCCCACCAAATGAGAGCATAGCAAGAGATCATGAGTTCGAATAGTCTCATCATCATCAACAAAGAACCAATGTCGACATCCTATCTGGCGCTCTGCGCCCTGACTACAAATGGCAGATCCTATCTAGCCTATCTACAATGTCGCTGGTGATGTCAACAGCTTCCCGAAGTGCAAGCAGATCTCGACCAATGCCGTTTTTCTCAAGCACCAGTTATGTCTCTCATATCACTCACAACCGCAATCCCCCACTCACAGATGGCACATGCACCCAAGGACCACCATGCGCCTTGTCCAGCATACAGCAACGCAGCTCGGCTATGGTTGCCTGCTCCTTCCAGCTCGCCCGTGAGCGCATGACCGCTGGCCAACGTTAGCGCAGCAACGCTTGCGCAACATGCAACCAATGCCCGAATGCCGAATGAGTGGGCAGGCACTTTCCTAAATGGAAGTGGCCTGCCTGTTTGTGTGCAGCCTGGCTGCGTAGGGCCCCTACCCAGAAGCTTTCGGTAGGCCCAGAGAGGCTGAGCCTCAGTCCAAACGAAACAGGCCCTGGGGTGGTTGGTTGCCCATGTCCAACTGCCCGTGGCCTGTGTTCGGTTCATGTTGCAAATCTGGCCCAGGGCCTGCCTTAGTTACATTGGAAAGAGGCAGCCTGGGCCTGGGCGCTCTCAACCAATTGGCGCTGCGCAACTGCCTGAATTTAACCAGTTGCGTGATGACCCGAAAATAGGCCCGTAGGCCCTGGGTCGAGCCTGCCTTCACTAAGGGCGGCCGACTGTATAGAAAATAGGGCCTAGTACGGCAGATAGAGGCCTTGAGCCTCACAATATAGAGGTGTCTTAGCAAAATTTGAATTTTTAGAATAAACAAGTAAGATAAATCAGAAAATGAGAAAAGAAACAGGGAATCAGATAATTCGAATTTTTGGAAAAAAAAGGAAATTTTAATCAAAGAGAAAGACAAGAAAAGAGAAGAAACAAAAAATTTGTGGGGGCGGGGGGAAGGAGGGGTGGAAGAAATGAAAAAGTGATGAAAAAAGAGAGAAATAGGTCCTCTTGTTATGATCCTGACCAATTTCGAGATACACATCCATCAGATAGTACAATGTCGTCCAATTGCAGAAAGAAGTGAACGACCTTGAGAGGGGGAGAGAGAGGATTAGAAGAAGAAGAAGTAAGAAAGAAGAAGAAGATGATGTACACCAGCATAGACAGATGACAAGGCTCTTCTTCTTCGCCCATCAATCTCCTCCTCCTGATCTCGCCCTTCTCTTATTCATCCAAGAAATAATAATACAATGTTGAATGGCTGATCCAAAATCAATGTCCGAATTCCTCTTCTACTGTTGGCATTACTTTAGGTCCACCATAGCCGTGGCCACCTCTTCCTTCCTTCCTCATCATAGGCCGAGGCTACGGCAGACTAGTAGGCCTTGCCCAGATGCCCAAAGGACAACCCAAAGCAGCTATGGCTGCTTCACTCAGGCCGCCATGCCCAACTTTGCCTTGAAGCTTCTTGGTGTGGCTCTCCCCAGTTGGGGACTCCCTGCTGCAGCGCCCACCAAGGTGATGAAGATGGCTACCACCATAGCCAGGTAAGTACCCGTGTCCTTCTTCCTCCTCCGTGTCCTTCTCCTTCCCCCAGCGGCGCTGCTCCTGGATAGCGTTGCTCCAACCAGTGCTCCAACCAGCGTGTCACCAAACTTGCACACCGAGAAAGAGGCCGGGCTCTTCGCCTGACTGGGAGATATAGCAGCCTGCTTGCCTCTTCGGGTGGTGACTTCCAGGCCGCTAGGCCTTCCAAGCAACCGGTACCTCCTCCCTTTCAGAGGGAAACATCATTGCAGACTCTGATATTGCCCATACAGGCCCTAGACCCAGACTGGTTGGACTGGTATCCGCCTAGACCTAACCTACAACTATTGGGCCTCTAAAAATGCCACTTTTGTCTTCTTTTGCTCAGTCTCCAGTACCCACACATCTACCTCTTCAGGGTGTGGTACCGGCCTACCCGCTACTGAGTGTTTTTCCTGCTGCAATCCCTCAATGTCACGGCCACAGGTAAGTACCGACCCTGAGGGCCGAATGAACGAGCAAGTGCCCTTGCGGGCCACACACACACTCAAGCCAACCAACACTCAGACAGGCACGACCACACACACACTCAAGCCAACCAGCACTCAGACAGACATGCAGTCCAGCAAGCGTGCACACACAGACTTAGCAAGGCATTCAGTCTATGGGCAAAACTCAGAAATCAGTCGTGTGTTTCAGTCCATGTTTGGACGGGTCATCACACTACCCCCCCCTCAAGAGCGAGGTCCCTTCGAGCGAGTAATTCATTCTGAGTCGTTGACACACACATCGTAAGCAAGCAAGGCAAAGAGGTTCCTAGAATACTCCGTCACAGTGAGCCTTGTGGAGATCTTAGGAGTAGCGTTAGCCGCGATTTGTCGCTCGTAGGCTTTAACAATGCGTGGGGCGCTGCGTAGCAATTCCTGCTTGGAAATCCAGTACAGATACATGAAGTGAACCTGGTACTGTCTGTTGCGTCCCTTCCCTACGTGCTGTTTAATTATGTCTATCTCATGCCCACCTTTGATTGCATGAAGGATCATGTTTTCTCGATAATCGAACGTTTTAGCGTCACGGTGGATGTACAGTTTTGATGCGTGGAACACAGGGTATGTGCGCAGATGGGCTGGCACATCAACTACGTACGAAGGGCCAAAGTGATCTTCGCCAATCACATCCAAAACTTCCCACGGACCATAGTAGAGTGGGAGAAGTTTGCGAGAGACTCCCTCTTCTTYTGAAAATTCAGACATYTYGASCCARACATAGCTTCC